TTTACCCCCCACCTCACACGACCTTCAATATATTAGTGTAACGAGTGGTTTTACGAGGTTGAGTATGAAGACCAAATATGTTTATCGTGGCCTTATTAGTCTGCATATAAATTTTCATAGCAATCGGACAATAAAGTCAACAAATTTACATGTAAAAATTTGCAGGTGGGGGGGGGGAAGGAAAAAGAGCCTTCATTGCATAATTAAAACGTTAAATAAGCTTTTCAAAATTGAATTTAAAAGGGGGAATCTGGAAAAAGCACTCTTTTCCACTCCCTCCCAACTTCTCCTTCAAAAATAATTGTCATTTTTTCCGGACTTAATTTCGTTCCTTTCCACTATTTTTCAAAAATCAATATCAGAAGTCACCAAAAAATTGAACAAAACATATTGTTTGAATTAGTGGAAAGCCTCATTAGAGATGACAAAAATTAAGGAATCAAGAAGTTTGACATAACCCATTTTTCTAATAGTTTGAAGTGATGGTGCTATAAAAGAAATGAACCGAGTTTTTTACATGTAACGTTATATTTCAATTCGCTAAACAGCTGGCTCTTTTTGGTTTTTCCTTTCAATCCCACCACCATAAAGAGAGCATCACTTTTATGGTGTAACGAGGGTTTTTAAGTTTGAGTATCCATACAAAATATTTCTGTCATAGCCAAGCTAGTCCGCATGTCATTATTGTAACAATGAAACCAACGAACTTTTTTAGTGACAATGAATTTCCAGGCGAGGGGGACAGAGCCCTCTTTTCTCTGACTCCTCTCCATTTTTTTTTTATTTTCAAGGTTCAATCCCGAGCATCACAACTGTAACGAGTGGTTTTACTAGGTTAATAATGAGGATGAAATATGTGGCCATGGCCTAATTAGTCCGTATGTCAATTTTCTCAACGATCCAACAAGGTGCACAAACGTATACTTACAAAACTGTGAAAATGAGGTGAAAAAAGGAGACCCGTTTTTATAGTGATTTTGTCATAGAAGTTGACATGCAAGTTTACTCGGCTTTTTTTCCTTTTCCAATTTTTCTAAATAATGCTTAGGGCTCTTTTCTACTTGACCGTAAAATTTCTTCGTACTTTCTTAGTTTTTTTATGTGTTATTATGACTAAACGCGACTTTTTTTGGCTCTTTTCCAGTTCCCCCTTTTTCAAAATGCCGAATTTTATGTTTGTTTTATGTGTTATTGATGCTAAAAGCGCGATGATACGCTGTGAAATTTGAAGGACAAATCTGTTCACGGTTGTCGATTTCTTCATCAAGTCAAATTTCATTGCATAATTGAAACGTTAAATAAGCTTTTCAAAATTGAACTTGAAAGGGGGGAACCTGGAAACGAGCACTTTTTTTCCACACCCCTCCCCCCTCCCACACACACACACACATTTCAAATTTTCTCAGTCCTTAGTTGCGTTAGGTGTTATTTCAGCTGAGTGCTTGATGTTACGACCTAACGTATGGAAAACAAATCTGCTGACAAAAGTTAGTTTGTTTATCACGCCAGACTTCACTGCATTATTGCAACGTTAAAATTTTTTTTCAAAATTGATTTTCAAATGATGGGGGAGCGGAATAGAACCCTATATGCGATTCTCTTCTTCTTTTTCCCTCACCTGGGAGTTTTTGCAGTAAGTTGCTTTGTTCACATTGTTTGATTGTTACAAAAATTCGGATTCAGACTAATTAGACTTTTCATGCTTATGTGGGCTAAAAAAAAGATCCATTGCGTGATGTTACTAGAGAAGGTATGAAGAACAAATCTGGCTGAGTTTTTACAACAGGTGGTAATTTTGAGTATGATGCATGTATTACAATTGAGAACTATAACTCATAATATAGTCATTTCATTTTCAATCATTTTTACATGCTACTGAGATAGTTTTTTTGATTATATTACTCTGCTAGATGAAATGTTATTCAAAAAAATAAAATTTTACACTTATTTTGCCATAAAATTTGGCTTATGAAATAAATTTCAAACACTGTTCGAAGTATAACAAAAAGCGATCCAGCTTCCACCTATTGTAACATATCACCCAAATCTGTTTCAAAATCTTGGTTTGTTAGGAGGAAAATTGGTCGATCGAGTGGAAGCCTGATTTTAATCGAAGAAATTTGTCCTCACCGGCAACCATTTTGAGAATGCCAAACAATTTTTTTTCAGTCACAAAATGAAACACATTTTAATTGGATGATAAAATTGAATAACTTCAACCATAACAAAAATATCAAACTGTGCAGTATTTTGGCCCAAACTCTCAGAAATTTTTTCAATCACTTCGTTTTACTCACAACAGTTAACTTAATCAAACATGTAATAATTAACGAACATAACCGGTTGTTGTGCAAGTCGAATGCATTTCTTCGACCGTCTCTATGTTTTTTGATAGCAGAGAGAGAACTCAAAATGAGAAAATTGGTCGGAAAAACAAAGAAACAAAGTTGTGCAGACAAAGTTGAGTTCAAAGATGGTCTGACAACCTAACACTTTAAAACCTGTTTTGTCCCGAAACCTTTTGTTTGAAATTTTTAGATTCCAAAAATTGACCAATGTTGCTTTAATATGAAAGCTCGCATTCCCCAAAAGGCTTTCCCTTAGGTACTCAGTAAATCTGCAATCTAACTTGTTTTTTTTGTCAGTCACTTTGTGAAGTGGTTGAGACAAAAAGAACCCATTCTCACTCACTGATCAACAAAAAAAGAAAAAATTAAAAAAGATAAAAGCTTTTTTCTTCCCATTAGACTCTTGAATCACCCATAACTGCTCAACTTCTTCATACGCTCTCGTTGCATGATTACTGATGAAAAAACTCCCGCATTTTGCCAAATTTTGCATGAAAAACTGTTATTGTTTGTTTTTTTCTCCGTTTTGCTTCATTTGGACCTTACTCACATTACGAGGTCTAATTATGCATTTCGTGAGTAGCAAGTAGCAAGCGGATTCCACAAAAGGCCAAAATCAGGTTGTTGCGGAACCCGCAACATTGTTGCTTTTTTTGATCTTCTTCGCTTTATTGGAGTTTTCAAAAAATTGAAACACTGTACCGCTCAAATCAGCGCGCAGCTTGGCGTCGTAATGCAATTGCCAAAACATAAGAAGAAAACATTTCTTGTACTTACACTAGTGGATAAAATTAAGCGCAATTTCAGGTTTTTACTATCCAAAAGTCTGTTTTCAATGTCGATTTTGGACAACATTTCCTTCAAAATTGAGTAAAATTTTTGCATAGACCGAAAGCAAATGGTCACAGCTGCTCTCTCTGAAGCTGCCATTTTTTCGTTACAATGACTTACCAAGGTAACCCGGGTCTGGAAATTGCCAGTTTTCACTTCGCGCGGAAAAATAAGAAACAGCCGAGTTTAATAAAAATTTCACACAGATGATTTCATTTTTCTCGCTTAAAAAGTTTCAAGTCGCATGAACCGTTTTTTACTATGCTTATTCAAGACAAAATTCACTACAATGCAAAACTTAGTGCGAATGAAGAAAGCTGGCATTTTCAAACCAAGATTACCTTGGTAAGTCATTGAAACGAAGTTTTGGTAGTTTCATAGAGAGTAGCTCTGATCAATTGCTCTTGGTCTATATAAAAATTTTACTGAATTTTGAAGGAAATGTTGTACAAAATGGATATTGAAAATAGGCATTTTAGAGAGTGAAATCCTGAAGCTGCTCTACTTTTTACACTAGTGTACTTAGTTTAAATTTGGTAAATCTGCAAATTGACTGTTTTAAAACTTCCTTTTCTATTCTAATTGTGTAAAATTTTTTCTCAAATGGGTACAATTTTTAATTTTTCAAAAGAGTGAAAAACCAGAAAATTTCTCTGTTTAGCTGTTTACCTTAAAAGTTGTGACAGAAAGTTATAATGATAACAACATTCCTCGAATGAGGGCACAAATCCTTCAATGGTATGATTAGTTTCTGTAGTAGTAGCAAATTTTTAAGCAAATAATTGACGTATATTCAGAAAAAAAAGAAAAAGTTTGATAACACCAACCTGCTCGAATTGGAAATGGGTTAACTTGCTTGCCGCTCACGTTTTAAAATGACAAAATATATTGGCCGTCAACTATCCCAAATACATCAAGTTACAAGTTATTCATCAAGTTACAAGGATGATATCAAAAAGTTTAGTAAAAAGCTACACAAAAAATCAAAAATTATTCGCAGAAAAAACACCTGCGCTACTTACTTCAAAATTTCGGATTTATAGAAATTGGTTCAGTTTTCTTAGAAACTCCCTGCGGCAAGCGGTAAGGTCGGAACCTGAAACGACGAAAAAAAGCTGGAATAGAGACCCAATTACTTAATTTTACCAATTATATTTAGACAGCGGTAATTATTTGACAATAAATTTGTTCCATTTTGCATTGAGGCATGCTCTCTTGTCTATTTAATACTTTGCTTTAAGCTAAATCTATCCCTTTGTGCTTTACATAGCTTTTGGGGGCTGATTTTGAAAATTTTAGAAAATTTTCTTCTCGAAAATTTCATCAATTCTTTTCGTTTAAACTACTTCATAGAAAATAATATGCAATGGGATTATTCAGGGTTTTGTCCTGATACGAGCAGTCTTGGGCAGAAATATAAATCCATGTCATCTCTGCTTTTTAACTCATACGTCTGGAGCATTGAGCGGTTTTTCGCTCTGCGGTTAATACCACTTCCATTTGATTTGAAAACAGCACGAACTTTGTCGGTGTATGAAGAGCTCAACGCAAGCATGAAAACATAAGATCACATGGCTCCATTCAGAGATCAAATGGAAGCATATAATGCTCATCAAGCTGCTCGTATCAGGGCGGAGGATTCTAAGTTTTATCAGTAGTACAAAATCGGGTTCCACAAAATAAAAACAACCGTCTGTGGACGCAGAGAATAATCATTTGACGGCGATGATCTGAAATTCCCTCTGGAAAATTTATAGAAGCTCTGCAAAATTTTGAATTTCAATTTCACAAGCGAAGCAGCTTAAAGGTTCATCGCTTAAAATCTGCAATTCCGCACTTCGGTCAAAGAATGAGTTTGATGTCCGAATTACAACATTTCAAGAAATCACAGTATGAATAACGGATGGTTACAAATCAACTATTTTAATTGTCAAATTTAGATCTATCGTTTTCTGTCCCTTGAAAATTGACCATGGGTATTAAAATTTGCACATTGCTTTTTTGAGGTCATTTATGTGTTTCGTATAGTTTTTTCCGTTGTGTGTTCAGTTCGATATATTTTCCTTGTTTCTTGTACTCCAGTATATCTGATTTCCTGTCAACTTGGTACAAGTAGAATGCTTCTTCAAACCCAACTTTAACTTGACCAGTTAGTTCTGAAAGCTCGTTCAAATACGGGGTCTGAAAAAACACCGGGTCGAAGACGCCCTCACCTTGATCGCTTTCTTCTTTTCGTTCCAGTGCAATTTCACGCAACATAGACTCAAGTGGCGGTACTTCTAGCTCACCTTAATTTTTCAACAGCATTTCATCACATATTTCAATCACAAAAACTATGATCAGGTTATGAGTTCCAAATGCTGCTCATCTATCAAGAGCTTTGCTATTGCGTATGGGTTTTTGATGGTATCTAGTTAGAAATTGAATCAAGGGTCCGACTGTTTTCTTAACTAAAATGTCTATAACCAGGATAAAACTAAATGCTTTCAACAATGGGGCAATATCATTTGGACTTTCATTTTTTATCGAAGAAAAACGTTCATTATCCTGCCCTCCCTTAAAATGTCCCAATCTTTTTTAAGTCCAAAATTAAGTTTGAAATATTGCAAAACATTGAAAGTAGTTGAAGCAATTTCTGATAAATGTTTTTCTTTATAATAGTCTTATTTGGTGGTGAACTACTGACCTCTGATGACCTTGGCGCAGAAATGACCTTGAAGCCAGAACATGGGAAGAGTATAAAACATGGCCTGCAAAGCAGCATAACTTGCGTGTCAAGAATCACAAACGCACTAAAGAGTAACTTAAATAAATCTACCCAAAACGTATCAAGTTGAAAATTGATATGCAAGTTAAAGTTTCTTAAAATTTTTATTTTTTGCTTACTGTCACTTGATTGGCGGCAGACACGGAGGCGGATCGATTAGCAAAGCAGCCGATGGGTATTCTAAATTTTTTGTGCAAAATGTGTCGCTTGACATGCGCTTATTTTTTTCATAATCAAGTCAATTAGAATAATTTTTACTACAGTGCGAGAGAAAATGAAAATAAGACTGACATTATCAGCGTAAAGCCTTGAATGTTTCTATTGTTTTTTTTTTTCACAATATAACTTTTCTTAAATGATTTTGAATAAAAATCAATTTTGATCTGAATTGGCATCTAGCAATACGTAGTTGTATCTGCCATTTCAATGCCGTTTAACCTGTTGGTTTTCTCATTTGAGAACACTGTTGGTTTTATTGTGTTACGGGCGAAACACAATTATAAAGCGAAACACAAAAAAAATACAAAAAAAATGCTTGTCATACAATTCCATAGTATGGACAAAATGCTTATCACACAATTTATTGTATGATAAAAAAATACTTGTCATGTGATTTTAATACAATTCTTTTTATTTTTTTGATTTTTTTTCGGAGTTGTACTGAACTGTGTGATAAGCATTTTTTCCATAGTATGGCATTGTATGAAAATCATTTTTTGTCAAATTGGGTATCTGAAAAAAAATTCAAAAAAACTAAGCAAAATTTTTTGTACATGGTGATTAAATTTCGCGTTGTTGTAGCAACCTGTACAACTTTCGCAGCAACCAGATATTTTTCTAAAACCTATGAAAACGCTAATCAAAATATTTTTCAAAAAAAATTTCAGTAACTGGCTTAATGACATGCAGAGGAACTCTAATTTACACTAAAAAAATATCTGATTTTAAACTATAATTCAGGCATATTTGACAGTCGTAGTAATATAGTAGGCAAACAGGTCAACAGTTTTTGAAAAAAAAACTGACTATAAAACAAAAACTAATAAAAAATAATCAAAAAAATGCAAAAAGTTTTTCAATTTTTTGCAGAAACTTTTTGATATTTTGAAGTTTTTGATTTCCAAAATGTTATTATAAGTCTCTTAAAACTATTTTTTACTTGAGTAAAATAAAATTAGGTTTAAATAAACTATTGTAAACGGCCTAAGCTAAGCATACATAAGCTGCTCGATCGCTTTACTCGCTCGAATTTAGACAAAAAATCATAAATTTCAAACCGGTTTTTCTCGACACTGAGAAACTGTTTCAAATTTTTTTATGTCGTTCGTATCACAACTGAAAGGTCATTAATATGATATATCACTCAAATTTCTCTGATGAATATTTGTGTTAGCTGATTTTGCGTGAAAATGAAAAAAAAAGTAAAAAAAAAAACTAAAACACACCCAAATGTAAAGTTCCTCTCTATTTTTCAAATGGTCGGAACAAATAGAAGGATAAAATATACCACAAAAGTCGTTTTCTGCGCAATTTCTGATGAGGATGAGTACGTTTCCGAGAAAACCACCTCCAACTTATACTTCGATCAGATTTTTTTATAAGGAAAGTTTGAACAAGTGTGTTGATCAGAAACGAAAAGCGGACGAATTTGTCATTTCGGCCTTATTTAAGTTAACAAAAAGTGTTTATTGTTTGTTCTTTTAATTGGAATGAGTACTATTTCATTTACCGACCCTCAACCCGCAATCGACTATGTTACCTGCATTCCAATGTAAAACAGCTGCTTATTGTGGGGGACCAGCACCTGTTTGTACAGCGGCACTGCAAACGTATTGTTGCAGTGAAGTTGCAGTCTATCTTCCATAAATGGATATCTGTGCAGGTACCCGGTGCAATAAATAATGACGTCATAATCATCTTTGGTACCATCCTTGAAGCTAAAAACCATTTTCTTCATCAATTTTCGTATTGTAATTAAATAATTTCTTTCCGTTTGGCAAAAAAAATCTGAAAGTAGTGTCGTTTTGACCATTTTTTGAAACGTTTTGGCCCAAACAACCCCTTCATATAGTATATATTTGCACCAAGGCAACTTAAGATTTTTTGGATTTATTTGCAAGAAATGGCTATCGTGAAATAGTTCCAAAATGGAAAAGAAAACCCGTTTGAGACAATTTGGCAACCAAAAACTGAGCAGAAATCCCCCCAGCCCGATATTGGCAATAATACAATGCCCACCTTACTGTTTTTCCATCAATTCGCTCCAAATTTGTTCTCTGGTCTATTCCAGGTGGCCATTTAGTGTCAATTGGTCTGGACCTATAAGAAATCGTAACGTACTCGGCCCCTGCTTTCAAGGACTGAACTGCAATGTCTTCAGCTGAAAACGAAGAGCCAACCAGCAGAATTATTCTTCCTGTGAAGTAGAAAGTTGTTGAGAAATTATGAAATTGTCGAGAAAACGTTTTATACTTTTTTAATATCTGAGGTAACCCGGGTTGACCAAAATGTGCAACCATGCGTCGCACCATGCATGGTTCCATGGAAGCCATGGAAAATTGCCGACGTATTTTTATGTTAAAATAACACATTTTCCATGCATGACGCGACGTATGATTCCACTTTTTTTAAAGTATGGGGGACTTCAAATTGGACAATATTGATACTTTTACTAGGGCGGTTGATAAATTATATGTCACCATGGAAGCTTGCAATGTATGGGTACTATGGTATCATGCATGGCGCGACGTATGGTTACTATGGTACCATGCATGGCGCGACGTATGGATACCATGGAAACATATATGGCGCTACATATGATTAACAAAGAACCATATTTGGCGCGACATAGAAACTGAATAATCAAATAAATTCAATATTCTCGTGGGCATCCAAAAAGTGCTCTGAACGACCTCAAAGACGTTGGTAGTAAAAATCTTTTTTCCGCCATTCAGAGCAAAAATTTGGTTCCCAAGCAAAGCACATTATTATCTGATTTAAAAAGTTTTACCTGATGACACCGGAAAACATACCTGGTGATGGTTGAATAATTTTCATAAAACTGTCTAAAACAAAACAAGCATTTCAGAAATATGAAAGATTATCAAAACATAAATAAAAATAATTACCATCAACAAAAACAATTCAACAGAGGCAAAGCAGAGCTTCACATCACTTGCAAAACAACGAAATCGTCGCAAACTAAAAAACAGATTCTGCAAAAAAAAGACAAGAAAAAATCCAACGAAAATTTTTTCAAGCGATCAAAATTTTTTGAAATTCATTAACTAGCTTAAAGATTTAAGATTGACTCGTTTGCTTGTTTTTAATTCTTTTTTTTTTCTTTAAAAACTTGCTTTGATTTTTTTAGAATAAAGCACTAACAAATTTGATTTCCAAAACCAAAAAAATCTGTTGTGAGATTCGAGCTTGCCTTCTCAGAGGTATCTGATGAAAGGATAAGGTTTGCTTTCAAGTTGATGAAAGTTTAAAAAACCTCAAAAGATCAATATTTTTTAAACCAATATTCACCTCAAAAGGTGATTGTTTCAAATAAACTATTGAACCTCAGTTCAATCCCTAGCACGTTGTAAGAAAAAACCTATAGGGCAACAGAATACTTTAAATTTGATTAATATTTCAATAATTTTTTTAAATTTTTTCTTCTGTGGAAACATTGTTTTAAGTTTTTTAATTGAATTACTATTGAAAAAAAAAAACCAAATTTTAAAATATCTTGTGGCAATCGTACACGGTTTGTTTAAAACAGAGTTTTGTTTGTAATTCGATTCAAGACGTACTAAATAAAGCTTTGCTCCGGAATGAGAAAAATTTTCATAAAATTAAAAATAAAACATTTTTCACCAATCTTCACGCATTTTTTTTCTCCAAAAGTATCTTCTCAGCTTACCCCCTCAAAATTTGAAAATGCAAATGAACCTCGAAATAAACGAAAATTTCGTCAATTTTGGTTGTGCTGTTGCCTTCTCTATTAAAAATGTCTTTGTAAGGAAATATCGATTCCATAAATGGCGCCATTTATGGTGCGACGTATGGTTTGCATGGTAGAAAAAAAAATTAAACTTTATTAAAAGGATACTTTGCACTAGAGATACTTTTTCTCAGTCGTTTTTGTCAATTAACCTCTATTTTACGGTTTTCTAGAGAAAAAAAATTCGTGAAAAATCTCTTCCATACGTAGCACCATATATGTTGCGACGTATGATTTGCATGGTGAAAATTTTTGATATTTTACCAACAGCTTGCATAACGATGAGAAACCGTTTTATTACTATTTTACTCAGTTAAAAAGCTATTTTGAGGGTTTTCGAAACCAATGTATGGGCGAAGTATGATTAATCATTTTCCATGCAAATCATGCATGGATGTGCATGGTTGCGCATTATCTTCTATGGTGGGCAGCCCGGGAAGCTTTGAGTTTTATCATCTAATCGTTTAGTTTAAGTGGTCTTGATATCTTCTAATCAAAAGCATTTTTTTTTTCAAAATTAACCTGTAAATGCTGAAAATCAAATAGCCCATTTGTAATCAGGTTGTAGTACATCGGGGAGTGTACTTCAATACCGGCTTCTTCGATCCCTTCTTTTCCGCTGTTTTTAAAGAGGAACTTTTTCTGACCGAGTTAAGAAAAAAGCATTTATAGCCATTAACAAACTTGAGAAAAAAGTCTTGAGCTACCTACCTTTTTGGGTTCTTTCATTATATTAGACAGACAAAATTGTTTTTTTTTACTGTTTACAAAATTTTCAACAGAAACGAGGATTATCGATTTTTGAAAAATCAATTTTTTTTTCTGGAAAACTGTTCATTAGTATCGCATTTTGGTGACACACCCCATTCCTTTCAACTATTCGACCACTTGACCACATTAACGGTTCCTCATTGCTACTTTTTCAAACATCTATTTTCGATCAACCAAATCTTAATTTACTAAAAATGCTTTCGGTGTTCACTGTACAATTATGAGGCTATATTTCGGAAAAAACTTCGCAAAAATGCCAGAAAACATCTTTGTGAAACAATTTAGTCATTTTCTTCAGATTCAAATGTAGTCTTGAATTTTAGAACATTTTGGATTTTTTAACTTGACACTGTCATAACTTTTTCAGATTCTTATGACAGTCCGAATCACAATGAAAATGCTTCAATACTATATATAAATCGAATTGGTGCCCTGTGTTTTTCCGGTCCCTGGTTGCACCCGGAAAAACTCATGTATACAAAGCTCCTTCCCACTCTGCAAGGTCAGAAAGAAAATAAAACAAGAAAAAACAACCGAACTGGCTGTAAATAGACGAGAAAAACATCAGAAATTGCACAAAAAAAAAAGAAATCAGAACTTGGAAAAAAAACGAGCACAAAACACAAGAACTATTTTAAAAATGTGAGAGCAAAAGATAAGAACAACTTACTGGAACCTCCATATGCCGCCTACTGAGTCGTATCTCTTGTAGCACGCAAGTTCAAACATTGTTCACTTGTAGCACACTCGCTTGGGTGCAATTTTCTTAAAGTCTGGCATTGATTTATAGATGCAAACTAGGTAATTAAAGGAAACTTTGTTGAATAAAAAACAAATTCAGGAATTTGATTCGTTTTAGTGTTTCACGAACCAAAAATTATATTGGTTATGAAGGAAACATTCTATGGTATTACACTTGTACCAAAAAAGTATCACTTTTTTACGTTTTTGAAGATAAACGATGTTATAAAAGAATCCCAATATTCTACAAAAATAAAGTATATTTTGTTGATACACTTTCAAGAAGAACTTATTTTTGGGATACAGCAGTACCATGTGGATCAGAAAATAGCCACAACGTTGTAAAATTAAATCCCGACGAAGATAAATACAATCTATTAAAACCATACCCGACATTAATGCAACCATTAAAAAAGTTTTCACCAGAAAGCATTCGAGCTATTGCCCGCAATCCAAATATCGATTTACAATCGATCGGCATATACTCTAAATCCGACATTCAACACCACATACGTACCTAATATTTTCAAGAATTACTCACAAAAACGGACACAATACAACGACAATCCATAAATCAAAACTTACGCGAACTTGCAGAAACAGCAAGCTTTTCAGACATCTACGCACAAGACTACAGCGGATATTTTTAAGATATAAAAGATTACTTTTACTTAAATGGCGAAAGTCACAGACCACAAGAAATATCAACAATAAATTTTTTTAGTTTTGTAAATTTGAAGAACGAACTTCTTGCCTTTCTAGGATGGCCCTACTACATTTTAGAAAGATTGACTATATTATACGCAATGTTTAACTTTCTTGGATTTCTTTTCTCTCTACTAAAAGGAATCTACAATACATGTGCAATACACACACACGTAAGCAAAAAAGCAAGCGTAGCACTTATACTTTTTGCAGGATTTTTTGGAATGTTCTCTACATCAATAAATAAAAAACTTTTAGACGCTCAATTAAAAGAATAAAAAATCCAAACTATCAACAACACCGAATATATCACAATTCACAAAACATTACAAATACAACGCCTCCGGCACCACAATTACAAAGCTTAAATCATAACCATCCTTTATCAATAGTACCACGAAATTTCAGAAACATAGCCCAGACAGACCTCATATCTTCAAGACCTAATTACCCACAAAGCCCAATTCGACACATAATAACCCAACAATCTAATATAGAAGACACATACGAGCAAATTATAGAACAACCACATACCACTAACTTTCTTTCTCAGAACAAGCATCTTTTTAGCCAACGATGAGCCACCAAGAAGTTGGATCACTCCATCGCTCAATTTCCTACCCAGCCAACCTTCAAAGCAACCTCCCCGTCACACCACTTTTTGCTTTCCCCGCACCTGAATCACCTCATGATAACACTTCATCCGGCATGGATTCAGATAATAATTCAAACAGCACTGTATATAATACTATTTCCCGATTTAATAACTCAGATCTCGAGACCCCTGACAAATTTGACAACTCCGAATCCAGCCCATCTACATTTTCCCAAACTCTTTTTCAACCTCTCTACCCCCAAAGAAGATTTGAACCTCCTTCTACTCCCTCTTCTATTTCCAAAGTAAAACCCACATATTCCCCATGACCAGTGAACCTTCAGACAACAACAGCTCTGTAAAAACACAAATATCTCATGAACTTCATAATTTTACCACACTTCAGCAACAATTACAGCACCCTCAGACACTAACCATTCACCAACTCTCACAATCCATAATATCATCAAACCCATCAACCCCAACTCCCTCTTCAAATTACACCCCTTCGCCAAGACCAACTACCTCGTCAAATCCATCCTCATCTAGTTCAAACCGAGCCTATCGAACCTTCAAA